TGTCGCGAGCCGGGACTCTGTCCAGCAGAGTCCAGGAAAGACGACACAGACACCAAGGTGAGGTTCAAGCTTCTGTTTCTCTTTCTTCCTTTATTCTCTCTTATTCTCTCTCATATTCTCTTCACTATGATGCTGTCTCTTTTTCTATTACACACTTCAGCTCTTTATATAGCGTTTTCCAACAGCCCTCCCCCCAGCCGGTATCAATCAGGGTCACACACGTGCAGCGGCCAGGCAGAGTGTAGCTCATTAGGCACGTAGCAAGATCATCAGGCTGGCAGCACCTGTTTGGCCTCTCCATACTTTGGAGTAAGCAAGCGGGAATCACGAGCCTTGGCAATCAGCCAAGAGTTGGAGTAAACAGCACGAGGTTTGGCAGCCAGCCAGGGTGCCATCTGGCTGACTCAGCTGTGCTCGCTTCCCACAGTAGTGTATAGTCTTTTTTGTGTATGTCTAACTCCTATCATCCAACTCACCTCTGCCAGTTTTTTATTTTCTTTTTATGAGTCATCTTTTTTGGGGTGGAAAAACAGATGATAATTATATTTTTATTTTTAGAAATTTCGGGATTTCTTCAATCAGAATGAAACCAGTGACCCAGCCAGGGACACATGCGTGATCCTCACAGTGGAAGGGCGAACATTTCCGGTGGATATCTTTTATCTACAAAGGTTTGGTGATGCTTGATTCTTGGTGGTGGTGATTAGACACCTAGGCCTGTCATGCAGAATGACGACCTACTTCATCTACCTGCAGCACAAAGGTCGATGAGGAGGAGCATGATGCATCTCCTGTTACTGACAGAATGTTCTGGAAGCCTGCCCAGCATCACAGCTGACTTTAAAGTGTTGACATTGATGTGCAAATTTACATGAGTCTGTAGCTCTTACTCTTAGCTCATTTGGAGAGAGTGAAGTAGTTGAAAGGCTGGTGGGAGGCAGTTTAATAGCTTTCGGAGCTGAGGATTCCAGGGTGCCATCAACAGAGGGAACCCTGGTAAGTTGAGGCATTTGGGTCTTGCTCTCTATAAATTTAGCAAGAAGGCCTGGCCAGCATTTTGGGGAGGATCCCCTTTGGATAGGAAAGGGGCCATCCTAATTGCTGTACCTAGTCACTGGACCTGGTCCATTCACTGGTAAATTCAGAGAGTTGTGACTTGACTTCTGAGTCCTGCTAGCTGGAGAGGATACCCACTAGCTCCATCCATCAGCCCCTAGGTGCTGTCCAGGGCCAGGAGGACAAATGGACCAGGAAGAAGGTGGGCTTCAGCATTCAGACCACAGCCCCTGGTTTTCTGTGACACAGCATCTTTGCATGCTAAAGATAACACATATGCATGATATATTACCTTTGTTTCTTAGCAAATAGTGCTAAAAACCATTATTTACATGTGATTATGTATTGTAAATGCTGCATTTAATGGCTTTTGCTTTTTTTATTTCCTTCTGGTGCTAGGGATTGAACCCAGAACCTTGTATGTGTTAGACAGGTGCTGTGCCATTGAGATACAGCCCTAGTCTTTGACTGCTGCATTAAAAAAGAGTGCATATTTATTTTAGTTAGTCTATATACTAATTACCTACCCAAACTAGCTTTCATGAGGTTTTGCTGTGAGATTATTAGGGTGATTAATGTATAACTAATGAGCATATTCTAGTGATGATTTTTTTTTCTTGTACTCTTTTTTCAGTCCTGTTCCTGATTATATCAAGGCAACTGTGGACACTGTGGTGAAAATTCACCAGACAGAGGGAGATGGAGATATACTAGCCTTCCTTACTGGTCAGGTAACTGCACTGGGCTTCTCCGATGCATAGACATGTTAAGGCAGTTCTAGAATTAATATAGAGTCCTCTTATGTCACCATTTGTTTCTTGTTTCATTGTACTTTTTAGTTACTAAATCGCATAAAAATTGTTGGTTTGATGTCATTTGTCTACCAACTAGATTGTCAGGGAGTTGTTGGCCCCTCCCTGTTGTGCCTGTAGAGGGGTAATTCTATTTTTCATTTCATGTGTATGTGTGTAAATGTGTGTGTATGTGTGCACCATGTGCATGCAGGTACCCATGGAAGCCAGAAGAGGGAGTGAGATCTCCTAGGATTGGAGTTACAGGCAGTTGTGAGCTGGTACCAGAGTTCTGGTCTTTTGGAAGAGTAGCAAGTGCTTTTAATGTTGGGGCCGTTTCTTCTGCCTGTATTTTTATTTTTATTTTATTTTATTTTATTTTTTTGTTATTTTGAGACAGGGTCTCACTGTAGCCCCAGCTGGCCTGGAACTGGCTATGTAGACCAGGCTGGCCTTGAACTCACAGAGATCCGCCTGCCTCTGCCTCCCAGTGCTGGGATTAAAGGTGTGTGCCACCACTCCTGGCTTGCCCATATTTTTTAAATTTATTAGCTGATTTCATTAGAGGTTTTTGAGTCAGTGGGCTGTTTTGTTTGCTGGTGTTGGATGTACTGGGCACCTTGCATGTTGCTACTTTTCTTTCTTTAAAATTTTTTTAAGATAGGGTCTCTTTGTAGCTCCAGCTGCTTGCTGTATAGACCAGGCTGACTTTCGCCTCATAGAGATCTACCTTCCTCTGCCTCTCAAGTGCTGGGATTAAAGGTGTGGACCACCATACCTAGTTGTACCTCTTTTCTTTTATTAAAAAATATTTTATTTAAAAAATTATTTTTATTTTATGTATAATTTATTATACAAAAATATTTATTGTGTGAATGTATTGCCTACATATATGTAAGTGCACCTGTGTTATATAATGCCTGTGGAGGCCAGAAGAGAACGTCAGATCCCCTGGAACTGGAGTTAGGATTGTTGTTAGGTGCTATGTGGCTGCTGGGAACCGAACCCAGTTCCTCTGTAAGAGCAGCCAGTGCTCTTAACTGTTGAGCCATCTCTCCAGCCCCTGTACCTCTTTTCTTAATGACACCTTTCCAGCTAATTCTGTAGGTGGCCAGTGGCGGCATAGTGGAAAAACAACTGAACAAACTGAAATGTCCCCCCAAGATTGTTATGCTGTTCAGACCTACCCTCCAGCAGGTAGTTCACTGCCAAACATTTTCCATAGTTAGTAGTCTTCTGAGGAAAGCTTTTAATGAGTTTATAGGCCACAACCTATCCATATGCATGTAAACTGCGTAAAACAGTCATTTTAAAAAAATATGTATGTGTGTGTGTCTATGTGGGTATGAGCACATGAGTGCAGGTGCCTGTGGAGGCCAGAAGAAGGCAGGCGTCAACCCCCCTGGAGCCAGAGTTACAGGTTGTTGAGAGTCACCCAATGTGTATGCTAGGCACTGAACTTGGTGGAGACCTCTTAATGGCAGTACTCAGTTTTAACTGCCTAGCCTTATCTCTAGCCTCTTACTGTTTTTATTATGGGGAATGCTTCTATTAACTATAGATGGTTTAGTTTTACTAATTAATAGCACAGTTGCAAATTTTCACCCTTTCGATACTATTGTTTGGTAGCATTTGATTAAATATCATACTGGAGTGGGATATAGCAGACTATAACTCGTGAAGGTGACCAAAGTGGAAGTCTGATTCCAGCACTCACTGTCTTTCAGTCTAACATGACCTGCCTCCGATTCATGTTGGCTTCTTTGGTTCCTGTTTCCATGTTTAGGAAGAAGTAGAAACTGTTGTGTCCATGCTGATTGAACAGGCCCGGGTGCTGGCTCGCACTGGGATGAAGAAACACCTCCGGGTTCTCCCCATGTATGCAGGACTGCCTTCCTTTGAACAGATGAAGGTGTTTGAAAGAGTGTCACGCAGTGTTAGAAAGGTGAGCCTCCTAGTGACCAGGGTGCTGACAGCCACTCATCCTCACATTGACTCTTTTTACCATGGGCTGAAAAGTTAGTTTTTGTTGCTTTTGGTGTATGTATGAGTGTGTGTGTGTGTGTGTGTGTGTGTGTGTGTATGTACATGTTTGTAAATATGGGCATTTATGTAAGCCACATTTGGAGGTCAGAGGGCAACTGTAGATGTCCATCCTCAGTTTCACTGTGTTTGAGACAGGGTCTCTGTCATTTGCCACTGTGTACACAAGGAAGTTTTTTGCCGTTATGTACATAGGAAACTTCCAGGGATTTTTCTGCCTGTGCCTCCGATCTTACTGTAGAATTGCTGGGATTACAGATGCAGGCTACTGTATAGGTTCCAGGGATTTGAACTCAGGGTCACATGCTTGCCTAGCAAGTTCTTTACCTGCTGAGCCATCTCTCCAGCCCTGGTTTTATTTTTTTTTAATTGAAGTGAAATCTGGTAAACAAGAACCTTTCTTTTATAATTTTAGGCCCATGTTTCTGTATAACAGGTCTAAAAATGCATAATAAATAATCCGAAGATCTCTAAACCTGCCCAGAGAAAGGCAACTCTGCTGGCAATGGGAGCAGGTGACTTCTCTTTCCTGTTTGTTTGTTTGTTTATTTATTTATTTATTTATTTATTTATTTTTGGTCTTTTTGAGACAGGATCTCGTTGTGGCCCCAGCTGGCCAGGCACTTACTATGTAGACCAGGCTGGCCTTGAACTCACAGAGATCCTCCTACTTCTGCCTGGGATTAAAGGCGTGCTGGGATTAAAAGCATGGGTTACCACTCCCGGCTATCTCTTTGCTTTTCTTTGCATAATATTTCTCATGGCATGATAAGCCTAAGAGACTGTCATGGTGGCTTGTGGTCAGTCAGGAAGTATAGGCAAAGTTACTACCAACCATTTCTAAACTATTTTGAGTATCAGTTTGCCTTTATAGCCAAGTTTAAATCAATTAATTCAAGGTGTGATGTAAACATACTTAGTCCTGAAGTCAGGGTGAGGAAGGGTGTGGTGGGAAGAAGCACTAGACTGGAAGAGACAGAGTCTGACTTCCTAGAAGCTCTGGACAGGAAGAAGCGGGAGTCTCATTCTGCCCCTCATCTTCTTATTCCTTTCTCCTCCCCAGCCCAGGATACTCAGCAGGGGCCCAGAGTAAAGTAGGCAGGGTCAATGTGAGGCTCCACCCCGACTTCAGGCCTTATGGAAAGGGTGCCCAGCTTCGTGGCCATTGGGATGGAACATGAATCTGCCCAGTCACACATAACCTGCAGCTAGTCAGTCAACAAGCCTGGATTCTACCACTGAGATACTGTCTGCTCTAGAATAAGTTGCTCAGCCTCAAGTTTCAGTTTTCCTAGCTATAAAACATGCATAAGAGCCAAACATTTTTATTACATTTATTATTTATTATATGTGTGTGCACATGTATGCTGTGGTGTATGTATGGAGGTCAGTCTTCTACCATGTGGATCCTAGGGATTGAACTCAGGTTATCAGGCCTGGTGGCAAGTGCCTTTACCTATTAAGCCATCTTACTGGCCCCAGTAATAACTTTTTTTAGACATGTTCTCATCGTATAGCTCTGGCTGGCCTGGAACCACCTGCTTCTGCCTCCTGAATGCTAGAACTAAAGGAGTGTGCCACCAGGTCCAGGAATAATAACTTTTAGATAGAGGGTTACAATTTTATACTATAAAGCCTTGTATTACATAAAAATAGGAAGCTTTTTAAAAGATATATTTCATTATATGTATATTATGTGTATGAGTGTTTGCCCTCATGTAAGTATTCCACATGTATACAATGCCTGCAGAGGTCAGAAGAGGGTGTTGGATCCCCTGGAACTGGAGTTATAGACAGTTGTTAGCTGCCATGTAGGTGCTGGGAATCAAACCCAGGTTCTCTGGAAGAACAGCAAGTGTTCTTAACCGCTGAGCCATCTCTTTAGCCTCCCCAAATAGGAAGATTTTTACAAAATCATTTTGTAAAGTATAAAGCACCCCTCCAAAACTCTGAGTGTTATATATGTGTCCCCTCTTGCTTGAAACCCTCTGGGGCAGCCCACAAGCACTCATGGTAGTACCGAGACTGCACATTAATTGGGCCCTGCGTCTGTCCCCAAGCTTGGCTTATGTTAATAGCTGCAGTTTCTTTTTCCTTTGCATCAGAGCTTCTGCCTTGGTCTTTGTAGGGTTGGCCACTTCCTGTTACTTGGTCTTGGCTCACAGTCATCTTTCAGGGTAGTTTTCCTTGGACACTAGTCTAAAGGGGCATGCCCTGTTGTTATAATGAAAATATATACCACGTCATATTTTTACCAACCTGTGTTTCCTTCCTGGTATTTGTCACTCTCTGAAGTAATCTGCTCCTTATATTCATGTTTCTACCCCAGACACTCACACTAGAACATAAACTCTGGAGAGTGGGGCTTTATCTTTTCTATTATGTATCCCTAGCACCTAGAAATAGCCTCTGGCCAAATGCAGAGCCTTAGAAAATAGCCATTGACCAGTACATGAATGTGCCTCTGCAAGATGCCTGTTTTGATTGTGCAAGAGGGAAAACAGACACTGTTGAATTTACCTTGTACCCAGTGTTAGATTCTAATCAGTTGATGTATGCATCTTATACAGTCCCCTCAGCAACCCTGGGAAAGGCGGCTATGTTATTATGTAGATGTGGAAACCAGTGCTCAGGAGGTTAAGGAGATGTGCACAGTCATAGACTTGAAGCATTCCAGCCCAGGGGCCTAGCTCTCAATCTGCCCCCTCAGCCTTCCAGATCCATCCAGATCCATGACATTTGAGATGTCAGTATATCTTTAGGATTTTTAAGCTTATTCAAAGTGGAAAGAACCAAATAGCTTTTCTTTTTACTCTTTTCTGTGGGGAACTAGGTGATTGTGGCTACCAATGTGGCAGAAACTTCTATTACAATCAGCGGAATTGTGTATGTGATCGACTGTGGCTTTATGAAACTGCGGGCCTATAACCCCAGGACAGCTATTGAATGCTTGGTGGTGGTACCTGTGTCCCAGGCTTCAGCCAATCAACGAGCAGGACGTGGTGGGCGCAACCGCTCTGGAAAGTGTTACCGCCTTTATACAGGTATGTGTCATTTTCCCTGATCGCTTTGGATGTTCTCATAGTAGCCTGGGCTTTGGATCATGGGGCGAACATTTGTCCCTCATGGCAGAACTTCCCTTATAACCCAGCCCTCCTAACCACCCCTTCCTTCTTTGTCAGTACTCTCCATTGGCTGTGTTCTGACCTCGTGTCTGTAACCACGCCCCTCCAAGCATGGGCTTTTGCCTCAGGTTCTGTCTTTCTTACTTTCCTTAAGCTTAATGAGCTGTTTTCTTATCATTAGACCCCTGAATCCTGTGACACCTCACATTGGATTCCTGCTCATCTTTGTCACGCTGTTCTGAGACTCATTCATAGACAGCAGTTGATTGGCTTTGTGCCATGTACCATGGTAGATTCTGGGGAAATTCTGATTGCTAGTTCCAGCCCTTGAGGCACCCTCTCCCAGCCTGAAGACAGCTGTAACCCATAGTGAGGCACCTGGAGCTGCACTTTCTCTGCCCTTCTCTTTTGTGGGAGTGGCTCAGAGATTTCCCCACCCTTTTTTCCTAATGTGCAGAGTTCATTTCCAAGTCATCATTAATTCCCTCCTCTGCTCAGTATCCACTTACAGCTGCTAAAGAGTTCTGGGGTTTAGCACTGCTAAGCATCTCTCCTTTCCTTCCTGGTTACCGCTGTCCTTAGAGTCATTGATGTTGTTTTTTATTCATCCTTTTTCTTTCTCTGTGGGTTTTGGACCTCAGGTCCTCATGCGTGCTAGACAAACACACCTCAACTACACTTCCAGCCATTATTCTTTTAACAAGTGTTCATAGACCACTTGCTGCATGCCAGGCATGGTACCAGGGCTTGGGGACCTAGGACTAGGACTGCATGGTGGGTGGTGTGGTAGTAGAGACAGACCCACGCACAAATGAGCATGTGATGGTGCGATAAGTCACTGTAGAGGAAAGGGGGCCCTGGAAGCACAGACTCAGCAGGGCTAGGGGTCCCCTACTCGGGAGTGGGGAATGCTTTGAGCCTGATCTTATTCAAAACCTCATAGTTATCCAGGTGAAGGGGGCAGGGCATTGGAGACTGGGTTTCAACACCCTAGGCAGGGCAATGGGATAACTGAACAGTAGTCCATTGTGCATTTAAACCCGCAGTGGTTTTCCACTCATTATTCTATCCCCATTCTGTCTGCTGGGCACATAATGCGTATGGACTTGAGAACCCGTTTTTAATTCTTTTGGGACTTTCAGGGTCATAGGTATGACAATTCTGTTTATTTTTTTTTAAGGAACTCAAGTTATTTTTAAAGAGGAAATGGGCACTGGCATCTCATGTGCCAAAGAAATCATGTGACAGGACATGGGCTAACACTGGGTCAGTGGGCTTGGGTGAAAGGTCACTGAGTCCTTAGCTTGAGCAGCTCTAGTGTAGGTATGGTTGGGAAGGGTCAGGGGGCATGAGTGCATGAGTGCCCAGCCTCAGGCTCCCAACTGAGCTTTCAGAGTGCAGCTGTTCCTTATAGCTTTCTAGAACCTTCCAGGACTTTTCCTCCAGCTTATCTCCTCTCACTAACTTCTGCAGTACCCTGCTTTTCAGCTGTACTGTGCTTTTGGGTCGCCCTCTGCTTCCCCATGTCTGCCCTGTTCCTTTGATGCACTGGACTAGTCTCTGCTCACAGATTCTTATGCTCACGACCGCTCTGCATGAGGCACCTTCAGAGCCTTCCTCCTATACCTCTGCTTTCCTCCTTCCTCCAGTGTATCGGGAGGAACACTTAGCGGGTCCTCCTCTGTTCTTCGTTGTTAGGCATGATTTCTGGTCTTGGTCCAGGTCCCTTCCTATCTCTGTAAGTCCTGATCGGACTGCCTGTGGCTTCGGCAGCTCTTGACCAGGCCTCGGGCTGTCAAGGCTGTGCAACTTTTGAGTGCTGTAGAACCCTGAGTGTCCTCGTACCTAAGCATTGAACACCCACTTCTCGGCCTCTTCTCAGTGGCATTAGCCTTTCATCTAATGACTTTGTTCTGCCTTGGCCTGCTGTATGCTTGGGAAGCGAGGTTGTCCCACTAAAAACACTATACCCAAGATGTTCTTGAAATGAAAGAAATTCCTGCTGTTGTCTGTTACTCGGAACTTTCCAGCTAGACCCATGTATTTGGCAGTTGATTTCACACAGTCCAGAATATTGGTTGTGTGTCTGTTTCCTTTTAGAAAACCTTTTACAGTTCTTCATCAATAGTATTTCTTCAGGAGACCTTTTGTTGTGCTTTGTTTTTCCTTTAGTTAACTAGAGTTTTATGTTCTAAATTGAGGCTGGACCACCCTAGTGTTTAAGGAGTGTGTGCGTCTGTTAAAATGTTGATTGATGTAGGAGAATTTGGTGTATGTAATCCATAAGCTTTCTGAATGTACACACAAATGCAGAATATGACAGCACTGGCTTCTGGGTATGTCAAGAAGCTTTTGGCTTCTTGACTTAAAAGCTAGATTTGTACAGTTCCTGTTCTTTGTAATTTGGTCCTTTGTCATAATCTGGATGTGGTTTTAGTGGTTTATTTTAAACTTTTCTTTGTTTATATGTGCCGTTTTGGCTTCTTTGACATACTCTGCCCACAGGAGGGTTGCCGGTAACTGGGCGCCAGTAGTGATTAACCTATGAGCAAATACTTGCTGCTTTGATTAGTATTTTGTTGCCAAAAAGCATTTGAAAAGCAGTATTCTGATGTCAGAGAACGGGCTTTTTATAAAGGTCTATTGTTCAATTGTATTTATTTGTTTTTTAAAGCAGAATGGCCCTTCCTAAATGTAAAGACAAGTTTGTCATGTCATACCCTGGGCTCTTGTTGAGGGTAGAGAAGGAAGGCCTCCTCTGGGATGTGCTTGCATTTGAGCGTCACATTCTATTGTTTCTGATTTCCTACCCTCAGAGGAAGCCTTTGACCAGTTGCCTCAGTCCACCGTCCCTGAGATGCAGCGCAGCAACTTGGCCCCTGTCATCCTGCAGCTGAAAGCCCTAGGGATTGACAATGTCCTCAGGTTCCACTTCATGTCGGTAAGGCCTGCTTCCTTCCCAGGAGCTTGCAGGGGGTTTCAGAACACTATGGCAGGCACGCCGTCTTTCTTTCTTCCCCGCTCAGCTCAGATGTCCTGTGCTACTTGGTTCCGTGCAGGGCATGGGGCCGACAGGCAGCACAGCCAGAGTTCCTGTTCTTCTGTAACCTGTCCTTTCACTGGGATAGAGACAAGGAAGTGAGTTACTATAGGGCAGCTTGAGCAGTGCTCTCAGGGACAAAGGTTGGGGACTCCCAGCCTTGTTTCTGGGTGTGAGGTGAAACGCAGCAACATGTCACCATATCAGGAGGATGGAGACTTAGGATAGGGTCTATGTATGGGCCTGGTATGGGCCTGGCTGCAGAGTGAGGCTAAGGGAGCTTTGGGAGCCATGAAGGGACCTTTGTGGTGTCTCTGGTGATTTCCTAAATCAAGTTGCAGGGGTAAAATTATTGGCCTAAGAAATGTGGTCCTTCTCAGGTTCCTGACACTTATGGCTCTACTCCTGAGGCCTGGCTCCCGCTGCCCTGTCAGTTCTTTTTTGCAGATACAGTGGTGGGGGAGTGGGGGTAAGCTGTCTTCACTTTTTTTTGTGTTTTTTTTTCCTAAGTTTACTGGCCACTTTATATTTCACCTGAATTAAACTTATTAGAGTTAGTATTTGTTAGCATTTTCCAAGATCTGTTAAATATTAAAATCCGACTTCACTGTAATGTCACATTTCTGGAAAATATTTTTCCTGTCATTTGTATTTTACTGGGCTTTTGTCTGTCTGTCTGTCTGTGGCTGATGTGTGGACATGCTAAGTGGGTCAGTGGTGAGTTCTTCTTGGCCTTTCTGGTTCCGACGGTTAGTTTTGTGCTTCTGAAGCACTCTCTTATCTTGTCAGTTAACACACACTCCTGTTCCTCTAGAATTTGATGATTTGAGAATTTGCATGTTAACTCTTTGTTCTAGATAGTGCATGATGTATGACATAAAAGTTTGTATTTGGGGTAATAAAGTCCCTGCTGGCATATGTCATGGGAAACCAGGGGCGTGAAACAATAGAATATACAGATACCAACACCACAGAGAAAGCCCTCGTATATGTGTGGAGAAAGTATCCCCACTGCTGCTGCTCTGCGGAATAAGATACTATAAAAAAGATGAACAGTATGTGCAGAGTTAACAGCCATGGGAAGTTTCCCATCTACAATTCCAAGGAAAACAAGACAGACATGACCTATCTCTGTCTTAAAAAATAGAGCCCTTAAGCTGGGCATGGTGGTGCACGCCTTTAGTCCCAGCTCTTGGGAGGCAGAGGCAGGCGGATCTCTGTGAGTTAGAGGCCAGCGTGGTCTGCATAGTGAGTTCCAGGACAGCTGGGGCTACAGGGAGACCCTGTCTCAAAAAGACCCCCCCCCAAAAAAAATATAGAGCCCTTATATGTATGTCGTTTAGAAGAAATCAAATATCCACTTAAAGGAAAGGCCACACACTGTAAACTAAAATGAAGATGCATTCCTCCAGGAGGTAGGGAGAAGTGCAGACTGGCTAGCTGTGAAGTCTGACTCTGAATTGAGTGACTAGTAAGAAAGACGACGAGCTACAAAACCGATGCATCTGGGAAGCCAAGGCTGTGTGCTGCTGGTGGCCACATGCTGTTCTGGTCTGGACCTTCTGACAGCATTTCGTAAGCCACAGAACTGTAGGTTATATTGGCCATGAAAGTGTCTCCTGAAAAAATAATTCAAAAGAAGAAAGGAACTTACATAGATCATGATGCTTGTAGAACTGTTTTATATTAAAATAAAAATAAAACCAACAATTGAAAACTGAAAGGGAAAAAACCCCAAATTTATCTTCATTTATTCCTTTCTGGTTATTTACCCCAAATTGTTTTTTAATGATTGAAATCACAGGGTACGTATAGTTTCCTATATTTAAGAATGTTGTTTACAGTAATGAAAAACTTGAAGCAACTCATTTGCCCAGTTACTGGAAAATTGACTTCTTTCTGGAGTATGACCATGGGGGTGTTTTATGTGGTTATCTCAAGTAATTACCTTGAGTCTCTGAGTATTAAAACAGTGAAAACAGAACACACAGCAAGAAACTGAGCTAGAACTATATATACATAGTAATTCCAAATATTAAAACTGCTTGCCTGTGAGCCCAAGTCAGATGAGGTCCTAGAGAAATAGTGGTAAATGATGCTTAGGTGAAAATACTATAGGTAGGTTTTTGTGGAGGGTAAGTTTCTTTGATGGATGATAATTGAGTGGAAGGAAGTAGGGTCAGGATTAAAAGGTGTGAAACCGGACCTTGCTAGCTATGTTCTGCAACTGTTAAATGAGAGCTTTGCTCTGTCACTTGAGTGTCAGAGAGCCCCAGAAGCAGAAGCTCCTCCACTGAGGTTATATGTGTCTCTCCATGGAGAAAGATGCTGCGGGCAGGAAGAAAGCTTGGTGGACTGAGGACAGGATTTGCTCAGCAGTACTTGGTCAGATACCCCATGTGCAGTGAATCAGGTTCGGTTCCCACCCTCAAAGTGCATATAGTCACTGTAGCTTTTAAAGGTTTGACTTTGTTTTCTGTCAAACAAAGTGGGTGATGTAGAATAGAGAAAGTACCTCAGCTTAGACTCTGACAATGCCACCAAATGCCATTTTCTTATTGTTACTTTCCTCATCTGTAAAGTTAAAACACTCCAGTGCTTAATGCCTTTACTGTATGCATGCACAGTTAGAGGAAAGGCAGTACAGTTTGAAAAAGTACTATGAGTTTATTACCTGGCTTATTAGGAGCCAAGTAACTTAGAAGGAAATAATGCTGCCAACACCCAGCAGGTGCACAGTGAAGATTTGTAGCGGGAAGGAAAAAGAGACACGGTATCAGAGCGTCCCACTCGGGACAGTGTGGGATTTGCCCCACTTTGAGTATCTAGCTTTCTCTGTTAATTTCAGAAATTTTAACATGTTATTAGCCAACCATTAGCAAGGTCTAGGCAGGGCTCCAGGTGATGCAGAGGTAAGCCTGCCTGTGCTGTGGTATCTGCAGCTCTCAGTGCAGAGGAAGGCCAAGGAGAGCTTAGGGAAGTGAAGAGATAGTTTATGGTAGGGACTGTCTCCTCTGGAGGGGAGGGAGGAGGAAGGTCACCCAGGGAAGCCGTTAAGTCTTAGAGGACAAGCAACACTGAGGATGCTGGGAAGGCAGGAAGCACATTTCAGGGTGCCAGCAGCGTGGAGACTGGGAAGACTGGGTGTAACAGAGGGAGAGGGGGCTGAGCCATGTGGTCACAATTTTCTGTTCCTTGCCAAAGAAATGAAATTTAAGAGGACTCTTATGTGTTTTACAGCCCCCTCCAGCACAGTCGATGGTTCAAGCTTTGGAGCTACTCTATGCTCTGGGAGGTATGCCTCTTTCTTACTTTCTGTTCTCTTGTGTGATAGTAGATAGCTGGATTCACATTGCGGCTCTTAGATAATGTGTCTTTTGGAGTGGGATTGGTCCTGTCCATGTGTCCATGACAATTTATAAAGTATAGCAGAAGCTGTGGACAGCCAGCCATCACCAGGGCCATGTGCCCAAGAGATACCCAGAGAGTAGCAATTCTCTAAAGATTCCAGACATTCTGTCCTCAGACTTCTTACATCCCCCCATCCTGAAATCTGTAGGTAGTGTTTCTCTTCCCCACCCACCTTCGTTTCATCCCTGGAGGTCTCTGCTGGAATTGGGCAGATGAGCAGCCTGCAGGATTATTTGGGTGAGGAAACACTGTTGTGGACTGTTAGGGTGAGGGAACACTGTGTTGTGCACTGTTAGGGTGAGGGAACACTGTGTTGTGGACTGTTAGGGTGAGGGAACACTGTGTTGTGTACTGTCTGGGTGAGGGAACACTGTGTTGTGCACTGTTAGGGTGAGGGAACCCTGTGTTGTGCACTGTTAGGGTGAGGGAACACTGTTGTGGACCTTTTGGGTGAGGGAACACTTGTGCACTGTTTGGGTGAGGGAACACTGTTGTGCACTGTTAGGGTGAGGGAACCCTGTGTTGTGGACTGTTAGGGTGAGGGAACCCTGTGTTGTGGACTGTTAGGGTGAGGGAACACTGTGTTGTGGACTGTCTGGGTGAGGGAACACTGTGTTGTGGACCTTTTGGGTGAGGGAACACTGCTGTGGAAAAAGTGCTGTTGGCTTGTTTGAAAGCATAGTGTGTATCTTAAGATGGAGAAAGTGGTATGTGCTTCTATGAGTGGTGCCTGGTGAGTGCAGTGTCCAGTTTGGTAATAAGTTTTTGTCCCAAGATTTATTTTTAGTCTTTTAAAAATAGCTTTGTTGAAGTACACTTCACATAACCATAGAGTTCACTCATTTACCACTTACTCTGATACAGTCAGAGCTGTGCAGTCTTCGCCATAGTCCAGTCTTAGAACATTTCCATTTCTCCCAGAAGAGATGTGTATCTGTCTGTTAGTACCCACTCTCCACTCCCATCCTCCCTGACCCTGGCCACCACTAACCTGGTTGTCTCTTAGATTTGCCTACTCTAAAACATTTCCTATAAATGGAGTCCTTGATAGTCATTAGTGATTTGCCTTTCATGTCTCTTTCCCCAAGGTTCATCACATCACTTGTAGCACGTACCAGTGCAACACTTCTGTTTTACTGATGCGTAATACTCCAGCGTATGGATATGTTATATACTGTTGTATCTGTTCATTAGCTGGTGAACTTTGTGTTGTTACCAGCACTTACTCTTGTCTGTCTTTTTGTGTCAGCCATACTGGTGGATGTGAAACACTATCTGGTAGTTTTGATTTACACTTCTCTGAGGACTTACAGTATTGAGAACCCTTTGGCTTATTTGCTGTTGTTCACAGTGTCTCTAGTTGCTTTGTATTCCTGGGACTTTGGTTCCAGGACCGCTTTAGATACTAAAATCTAGAGGCACTCAAGTCTCATGTAAAGTGACATATTGGTTGCACATAGCTGACACACATCCTCCTGCATACTTTAAATATCTCTAGATTGCTTACACCTACTACAGTGTAAACTGCTGTATTGTTTAAGGAATAATGATAAGAATAAAAGTCTATATGTGATTAGTTCAATTTTTTTTTGAAACAGGGTCTCCCTGTAGCCCCAGCTGACCTGGAACTCACTATGTAGACCAGGTTGGCCTTGAACTCACAGAGATCTGCCTGCCTCTGCCTCCTGAGTGCTGGGATTCAAAGCATGGCTCACCATGCCGATGTGAATAGTTCCGTTTTATTCTCAAATATTTCAAACCATAATTGGTTGAATCTGAGGATGTGGAATCCATAGATAGCTATGGAGGGTTGACTGTATCTTGTTAAGCAAGGTGTCAGTTCAAATTGTTTGCTCATTTTTATTTGGGTCACTGTCTTTTTATTACTAAGTTGGAAGAGTTCTTTACATATTCTGAATATAACTCTCCTGCATGACTTTTAAGTACCTTCCTGTCTCTGGTACTCACCCTTTTATTTGGGGGCATTATGTGCAGTACATGGGTCTAAATTAAAAAAAAATTATGTACATGCGTGTATTGTATGTAGTATTGTATGTATGTAAGTGCACCCATGTTGTGCAATGCCAGTGGAGGACAGAAGAGGGCATTGGATCTCCTGGAACTGGTTGTTATCTACTATGTAACTGCTGGGAATTGAACCTGGGTCCTCTGCAAGAGCAGACAGTGCTCTTAACCTCTGAGCCATCTCTCCAGCCCTGTGGCTAAGTTTTTATGTGGCTCATTTTCCCCAGCTTTTCTTTAGTCACTTGTACTTTGGTGTTGTCAAGTCTAAGGACACAGTGCTGTGCAGGTGGAGTTGTCTCCATGGCAGCATGTGTGCTTAATGTATAGGAGGCCTTGGGTTCAGTCCCTAGGACCCCAGACAGCAACCAGACAGCTAAACAGGAAACACCACTGCTGACTCCTCTCATTACATTTTACTTGTAGGTTTCATTCAGAGTTTGGACTCTTGTATTTACGTCTGATCCATTCTGGTTAATTTTTTATTTGGGCTGAGGAAGGGTCCATTTAAATTCATTATATTCTTCTCTTTGAAGGAATAGTTAATTGTAGATCTTAAAAGCTCTCTACTGATTTGAAAGGTCTTTGGCTTATTCCATCCAAAAAAATCCCAGAGTATGTGTTGATAGGTTTCTTACCCAGCTTTCAGAGTGTAGTAGGGGCTTGGCGGCAGGCGTGTCTGGATGACAGTCAAGCAATGTTGAATGTATGGATTTTCCTAGTTAAACTATTTCTTCACCAACTTAAATTGCTAGAAAATGAGAGGGAAAACCATGATTTAGTTTTGCCTTTGAGATGATTGTATTGGAACAGAGAAGACAGCCCTTTTCTGTCCAGTTCTGAGCATTGTAGCACTAATTTTAAACAGTGAAACAATAGTCTATATATTGGGGTTCTGGAACCCAGTGTCTCATACTGAGGATTGATAGGTCAGGAGGACAGGTTGGGGAGGGGAAGGACGGAGGCATCCATCCAGTTCCAGGGACAGAGGAAGAGGTTGTAGGTCAGAGTTCAGGGTCAGTGTGCTTGGCCTTCTGATGATTCACATAGTTTGAGAAGGGCAGGATCCAGAGATGCCGTCTTGGCATACTTGTAGTATGTCAGGCCTAGACATGGAATAGGATCCAGAAAGTGACAGGAGCAGCAGCCAGGGACAGAGGGGCATCATGGGAACTGAGGGAGAATAGCGAGGAAACTGCTGGAGGCCAAAAGGCTTTCATGTGTCTGTGCTGCTCAATTGTCAGACACATACAGAGAGCAGTTTCTGTGAGCAGCCAGGATGGAGGGGGTTCCTGTGGCCTGGGGAGAGAGTGGGAACAGGAGGAGGGTAGTGGGCTGTTGCCTTATAATTCAGTTCTTGAATAGAAGTGGCAGTTTTTAAAAACTGGGTGCTGAGGAGCCCAGTGGAGATGGTTTCTTCCTTTACTGTCATGGCTCTCATGTTGGGCTGAGTTTGGTGTGTATGAGTCATCTTTTTGTCTGTTCTTTTTTTAAAACAATTTATTTTATTTATCTTTATGTGTATGAGTGTATTGTCTGCATATGTGTAAGTGCACCCATGTCATGCAATACCAGAGGAGGTCAGAAGAGGGCATCAGATCCCCTGGACCTGTAGTTAGGACAATTGTTAGCTGCCATGCGGGTGCTGGGAATCAAACCTGGGTCCTCTGCAAGAGTAGTCAGTGCTTTTAACTGCTGAGCCATCTTTCCAGCCCTTTATACCATTCTTTAAAGCATACATCGTCTTTTATTCTCTGCACTGTTCGTCTCCCAGCACAGTGCTGCATGCCTTCTGATGTCTTCTGATGTCTTCTGATGTCTTCTGATAGGTCTGGACAAAGACTGTCGCCTAACTGAACCACTTGGCACGAGGATTGCGGAGTTTCCCCTGAACCCTATGTTTGCAAAGATGCTGCTAGAATCTGGTGGGTGGAGCCTGACTGCTCCTTTTGGCTTTATTTTGGTTGCCAGGGGACTTGTTTCCCTGAATTCTGTGCATCCTGGGGATCAACTGTGGTTTAAAAAATGACAACAGCAGTATAGTGTTTATTTTTGACTAATTAATAATTATGGTTTGATATAGATATAGTAGAAAGAGTCAGTCAAGGTACTTTGTCTTTACATTGGGTGACAGTTCATGAAGGTGTGTTTTAGAGCCAGCATGGTAAAAGTTAGCATGGTGAAATTTAGCTGTAACTGTGTTTAGGACAAGAAGACGGCCTCTGCTTTCCTGAAGAAACAAATTCTAAGTATGGTGAATTCATTGTGTACCCATCAGGGACCTCTCGGGACCTACTTGAGCCGGAGTGCAGTTTGCTCTGGCCTGTGCCCTGGAGGATAGGTGGCTACAGATTCTGTTTTTAATAGCCAGCAGCAGCAGTAGCCTAGCATGCTGGTCTCCCTGTGCCTTGGGCTTTCCAGAGCACAGGAGTACTTTGGAGAGGCAGGCTATCCCACAGATGGGCCAGGAGCAGGGGGACAGCAGGAGCCCACAGCCTCATACCCACTATCTTCCTTTCTTTCTGTGCTTATGCCCGGATTCCAGCTGTCCATACAGAGGGCAGGGAGCAAGCATGCAGCTGGCCTGCCCTTGGTGACAGGACAGTCTGGACCGTACCCTGGCTGGCAGTGAGAGCCCTCAGCCTTAGAGCTGCTGAGTAGAACTCTTCAGAGTCCTCCATAGCAAACTACACATGGGAGTGTTCCACGTGGCATGGTGAAGCATTTATGCACTAGGAACTTAAAAAAGAAACTATAAAATAGGATCTTATTTTATAGTACAAAGAAAGTATTGAAAATAGCTTTTGCTCCTTGTTGTAGCATTGTATGTTTACAAACATGCCTTTCACTTTCTAGGAAATTTTGGTTGTTCCCAGGAGATTCTGAGCATTGCAGCCATGATGCAGATCCAGAATGTCTTCGTGTTCCCCTCAAACCAGAAGTCTCAGGCTGTAAGTCTGGCTTCCTTCTCCAGCTGGTCATAGTATTCTTTCACTTTGCATGTTTCTTCTTAAACTCAGAAGTTATACAGCTCTGATGACAGAGCTGTATAAAAGATGTAGATCACAGTTGAGCAAGTGCTGTGTATTGTGTGAAGTATTTAACGAGAAGCCGTCACCTGAATTGCTCAGCAGAAACCGTGGTGGGCACTTAAGTGACATAAGTCGAATCAATAGGCAGAGCAGGCTGATGTTGTGCAGGTGGGGGGCATTTTTGAGCTAAAACTGGGGTGCTAGCACCCTTCCTAAGGCACAGGCATCCATGCTGAAAGATAGTAGGTATTAGAAAGGAGCACCCAAGACAGAGGTGGCTGGGGCAGGTAGAGGGAGTAACACGCCTGTTGCAAATTCTGTCGTCCTCCTGTACTGTAGTGTATTTGTAGACTATGTGTTTTCCCGTTTTGTCTGTTGTCCCAGGGGTTGGGGGGTGGGTGGTGGTGGTGGTGGTGATGTGTGTGTGAATCCCTTTAATTAATCTTTTTAAAGAGCTCTGTTTCAGGGCTGGAGAGATGGCTCAGTGACTAAGAGCACTTGATGCTCTTGCAGAGGACTGAGTTCTGTCTCACATGGTGGCTTAGAACCATTTATAACTCCAGTTCCAGGGGATCCAATGCCCTCTTCTGGCATCTATGGGCATTGTATGCACATGGTGCACTTAACATACTTGTAGGCAAAGAAACAAACAAAATAAAATATACCATGCATACACATAAAATAAAAATAAACATTTAAAAAAAAAGAGCTCTAACTAGGCATGGTAGCACATACCTTTAATCCCAAAATTTGCTCAGCTGCACTTACAGAACACTCCGAACACATAAAATTAAAATAAGTAGCCAGGCATGGATGCATATACCTTTAATCCTAGCACTCAGGAGGCAGAGGCAGGCAGATCTCTATGAGATTGAGGCCAGCCTATTCTACATAACAAGTTCCAGGTCAACTGGAACTACAGGGAGACCAAAACAAACAAACAAACAAATAAATAAATAAAGATATAAATAAATAAATAATTCTGGCACTTGGGAGGCAGAGACAGGTAGGTCTTTATGAGTTTGAGGCTAGCCTAATATACATAGCAAGTTCCAGGCTAGCCAAGAATATATAGTGAGACTCTGTCTCAAAAAACAAACAAAAAAAAATAAAAATAAAAAAAAAACAAAAAGAACTCCACCTCATGCAGTAAACGTAGGTTTCAAAGGTAAAAGCAGGGGCTCTCCTCGTCTTCTTTGCAGCACACCCCTCCCAGCCTCATTACATCCCAAATGCTTAGAAATTGCCTGATCTGGAGTAGGTGTCAGCAAAAGTCTGTCATTGGGAGGGAAAGAGGCAGGAAGGAGCTTCATTTGGGCACATTTGGTTCAAAGATAAACTTCTGAAGTTAGTAAAAGTACATTTGTGTCCTGGCCATATTTATTTATTTATATGCTGCTCTACAACCCTGTGGGAACAAATGACATTGTTTGCTAGAGAAAGAATTCAAGGGGTCTGAAAGGAGTTCAAGAGGAGATGGAGAGTAGCTTGTGGTTATGGGACCCAGGGAAGTCGGGCTGTCAGCTCACCTCTACTGTACCACATTACCTAGCACAAGAGATATGTGGAAGCCAACTTCTAAATGGAACTTTATTTTTCACAGACTCGAGTGCACCGGAAATTTGCTGTGGAAGAGGGTGATCATCTCACTATGCTCAACGTGTACGAAGCATTTATCAAAGTAAGCACAGCTGCCATTCATAGGGACCCTCCACTTACCCACTTGGAGTGGTCTAGGAGGAGGCCAGAAGTTTGTTCACAGACAACTGGCCAAGAGACCCCTCTGCTTTACCGTTATGTATTTCCCAGCATCCCACTGGGGTTTCTAGTCTTGTATTGCTGGGAAAACTCAGGAATGCGTGCTGCTTTTCTTTGGAGATGTGGTGTACTTGAGGTGGCCTGGCAGCCTGACCTCCTGATGTCCCACATTTATTGTGCATTGGACAGAAGAGTGACAATTGAATAGGAAGTTCTACCAGAGTGACCTGAGAACAATTTAGTCTTGGGCTATGCCTTCAGATAGTCCCAGCTTCTGTGAGAGTGTGGTCATCAAGGATCTGTAGATATCCACATATCTTCTGTGGTTCTCACGAACAGTGCTAATTTTCACTCTGAAAACCCTGAAACTAAGCAAATAATAGAGCCTAAAAGTCTCACTAAATATTACCAAAGAAAGTGTTATAAAACTTAGGAAACAAAGTAATACAAAGGAATGTGATTCATATTTCCATGTTTTGGTTGTTAGCCTTTAATGGCAACCAGGAATGTTATTTCATATTTTCAATATTCATTTCTCAAATACTTTTTAAAAAGGAAATATTGGGACTAGAGAGATGGCTCAGTGGTTAAGAGTGCTAACTCCTCGTGCAGAGGACCTGGGTTCAGTTTCCAGCACCCACATGGTAGCTAATAACAGTTCGTAACTCCAGTTCCAGGGGATCTGACACTCTCTTCTGATCTCCATGGGCATTGCACAATGTGAGTGTACTTACACACAGGCAATACACTCATACACATAAAATAAAAATAATAAAATGTTTTTTGAAAAGGAAATATCAAAGTTTTGTTTTACCAGAGATTTAAAGATTACTCAGTTAATGGTTTTCAGAAGAAAAAAAGATCTGCTATTGAGATGTACAGTTGAAGTCTGTTAGCATTTGTGGTACAGATGCAGCATCCCATCCTGGCCTGAAGCTTTGTCTAGTGGTGGAATGCGGCTGCAGATCTGCATTGTATGTGACAGTTGCTGTCTGGGACAATCTCATGTGAATTACATTTTTTAAATGTTGCTGCATTTAGAACATTTACTTAAAAACTTCCTCCCCTGCTGGAGAGATGGCTCCTTGGTTAACCTCCTGGCAGCTAACAACTGTCTGTAACTCCAGTTCAAGGGGAACCGATGGATGCCCTTTTCTGGTCTCGGCGGGCATTGTGTGACACATGTGCACTTATATACGTACAGGCAAAACACTCATGTACAGAAGATAAAAAAAACCCAACTTTCCATCCTAATTTAAAATGTAATTTTAGAGGTGTATTCCCTTAGCAAAAACTTAATACATGACACAATGATGCATTTTTTGAAGAAGAGGAGATGGGCATGGTGACACATGCCTTTAAATCCCAACACTTGAGAGGCAGAGGCAGGCAGATTGCTGAGATTGAGGCCAGCCTGGTCTACACAGGGAGTCTGATCCTGCCTTGAAAAAAAAAAACCAGAAAAAAACAAGAACACAGAAGAAAATTAAACATACTGTTGATAGAAAAATCCCACATCCCACATTGAGGATAGTTAGGAGTTTGAAAATTATTTCTGTATCAGCAGATCTTATGGATAGTTCCTGCCCTGTGTCAACTTGGACTGATGATGGCTCGTCTGTCCTTCAGGTCTCATTTGCTTGCTAGTGTGGAGAGAGGCCACAGAGAAACCGGCAGATTGCTTGGTTGACAACATCTGTTTTAGAGGTGGGGGTGTGGTGGGGAGTCAGGTCTCATCTCTTCACAGAGTTACTATGGTTGTGGCCATTTCTGACTTTGCTGACGCTTCCTCTTGGGGTCTTCTGTAGCACAACAAGAGCTCCCAGTGGTGTCAGGAGCATTTCCTAAATTACAAGGGTCTCGTCAGAGCTGCGACTGTGAGAGAACAGTTGAAAAAGCTCCTTGTCAAGTTTCAGGTGCCCAAGATGTCCAGCGAAGGTGAGTGTGACTGCCCTGCCTGTGGTTCCCTTCTTTGCTCTGCTCAGTTCTGTTTTAAGTTCCTGTGCTGGGCTGATGTGACGCTGAGAAGTGGGTGCTGTCCCTGCACTGATGCGGTGCTGATGAAATGTTGAATATAGAGTTGCATGTGATATTTCTGTGGGTTGTACCCCTCCCCCAAATTCCTAAAACTTAGGAAAACATTTAAGAATTGTTAGCTTTCACCTCATTACACACTGTATAATTAATATAATGATGTGCTTACTGCAAGAAGAATTACTTTAAAAAACAAACCACAGAGTTTCACATAGCCCAGGCTGGCCTCAAACTGCTCTGTAGCTGAGGATGACCTTAAGTTTCTGATCCCCTGCCTCCACCTCTCAAGTGCTGGTATTACAGACATATGTAACCATGTCCAACTTAGAAAAATTACTTTAAAATTTTTTGTTGTTACATTTTATTTGTGTGCATGTGTGTGGGAACGTGTATATGTGTGCACATGAGCATGGCTCTTGGAGTCAGTTCTCTTCTTCCACATGTGTGTTCCAGGGATTGAACTCATGTCAGATTTGGGTGGCAAGTGTCTTTACTTCTGAGCCATCTTTTTGAGACAGGTTCTCCCCCCTGTAGCCCCAGCCGGCTGGGAACACTCTATGTAGCCTAGGCTAGCTTGATCTTACAGAGATCTGCCTGCTTCTGCCTTATGAGTGCCGAAATTAAAGGCATGCATGCGCTGCCACACCCAGCTTGCTGAGCTGTCTTGATGGCCCCCCAAAACTACTTTTTTTTTTTGGTGTTTTTGGGAAAGGGGTTCCCTGTGGC